ACAGCCCCCCACCCCAAAACCAATGGATCATAGCATATATACAAGCTGGGGATGCGAAACGCTTTCACTGTAAAAATATGTGCCCTGTACTCTTGCCTACTTTAAAGAGTTAATCAACAGAGTCAGTTAGCAATCACAGCGTGATTTTCTCGCCACATGTAAAATTGCTGTTTGCGGTGTCACCGCAGAGACAGCCACAATTAGTCCAGGGAAACAAAGAGATCTGTGCAGTCCCAGAGGATGTCTGCAACTCCCTCTGGTAATTCAAGAATATACACGGTACTCTGCCTGCTTCAAAAACACTAATCGAGTTATCTGAAGGAAGTTAGACAGAGCTGTAGCCTACTTCAGTCACTTCATGTAACATTTTAAAAATGAGCAATGATTTAATCATTAAAAAAAGAATGAAGATTTGGGATCTTTTCTCGATTCTGAACAACGGACCACGAACAACAAAGCTGTGACGAAACCTGTAACAACTTCAGACCAAACAAGGGAGAAGAAAGAACAGCGATTTGTATTTTTCGAGAGTTTTGCCATAAATCCTTAAAATATATTGTTATTTGATTTTACTCCTCTGGCATTCTTTGCGTAGAAAACGTTCATGAGCTAACTGTTTATTAACCAGTGCTGTTACTACAAAATAGCAATTTACACTGCCTATTTCTACCTTCCCAAGCTTGTTCCCTTCATTAAATTGACAGAAAACACCAAAATCCATTTTTTTTCCCCTTCCATTTGCCTCTGAGAAGTCTAGATCTGGGCAATTCAAACTTTAAAATACCACCGGGGAATCAAAACTGAGTAGCAGTCTGAAACAACGGTAAACACTGCTGCATTAAAGCTCCGAATACTGTAACTGGCTTTTCATTTTTTCTGTACACAAAATCATACATAAACTTTCGCACAGAAATTCAAAGTATTAATATCTCTGTAGTGCATTAAATATAATCTCAAAGACATTACATTTTAGTTTTAAAAGACAGACAACTACTATCTGGTTCTTGCTAGTTTGGTGTGTTTTCCTAAGAGGTGAAGCACCACGTCACTAGTATTTAAAAACGCTTCACAGAGATTATATTTCTACTTTAAATGTAGGGAACATTACTGCCTGAATATAACATTGCATTCCCTCTTACTCTATTTTAATAAGAGGCTTCCAGACAGTGTTGTAAAGCTTTTAGTTAGTTGCTTCCTATGCTTTGCAAGTTTGTTTGTTTTAATCTGAACTTTATTCTGTCATGTTGTAAAATTGTTATACTGGTAAAAATAACTCACAGTTGGACGCAGACAATGGAGGGTTTTGTTATGACAGAAGAATTGGCAGACCACTTTGATCCATTAAAGAAAGCCTGGATTAGCAAATGTTGCAGAAAAAAAATATACCCTTCACATCTTGAAGCTTGCTTTCTGGCCAAAAGCAGCATTGCATCTGAAAAGCTGCATATTTCATCGACATAACATAGTATTTTTTGCCCATCAAAATGCATAACAGGCAGCAGTTTGTGAAACGGTACTGAGGAAGCATGGGGAAAGAGAGAGTGTCTCTGAAAGAGCGGACAAAGCCAGAAGAGGATCAGGCAGGCGATCAGGACTGAACGTCAGTGGGATTAGCAGAATACAAAAGCCAAAACTGAAGGTCAGATGCCCTTAAACTTTACTACACAGAGCTGAGAACTGTAAACTCGGCACCTCAATGAAATATACCACGTATATCAAAGCACATCTAGAGAGCATAGCATTTAACAGGGTACAGAAAGCGGAGTACCCTCTACTACCTTCTCTGTATAGTACCTGCAACTATACTTGGACAAAGACTAAATGCTACAAGCCTAATGGGATTACTAGCCCAGATTTCCTTGCTTTCATCAAGCTAAGAAGCACGTAGGATATACTGATTCTAACACTGATCCAAAAGCCTTTTCAGTTTTTAGGAGAAAAGATTAATGCTACAATTCAGACTTTGTATTAGAAGTTGACTGCTAGAGCAGTTTAAGAACTTTTACATTTTAGTACCTTACAGCACCAGGTTTTCGCTCAAGTTGAACTACCATTTCCTGATTCATAATAAATGTTTTAAGCAAGTGCTCCAAATAATCTTGTTTGCCTTTGTAAGGTGCAGCAAATGCAGTATAATAATATAATAATATGCAGTATGTTGCATTATTACTTGAACTTACTTATTTCTAACAGAGAGCAATAACCGTTAAGTAGATTATTGTCCTTAGTCCTCTGTCTTGAAGTCTATCAAAGGACCATTCCTGTGTATGCCTTTTCTGTAGGGAACTTGTCCACTTGATAGATCCTTGTAGAAATGAAGATTTTGTTTATTTTGAATTCTAGTTGACTAATACCCTTAGAATAAAAATGAGTAGTGGCAGGTAACATCAAAATCAATGGCAAAAGTCTTATTTCGTTCCATACAAGGAGGACAAGCGGGTAGTAAGCAATCCCTAGAAGCAAGTGCTTTGGAGGAAATGGGTAAAGAGTAAACATCATAGTTTTATGACACCAGCCCTGGGAGAGATTGTCTGGGTAGGGACCATATTAGAACAAAGATAAATATTCAGCTGAAAAAGTTTCATGGGAACAGTAACATTTTCCTCAGGCAGAAGACATAAAACAAATTAGACTTATGACCGAGTATTGCAAATTTCCTAGAGCTAACACTCAAAAAAAAATAGGACTAGGAGTATATTAAATTAAAGGGTACAATGAGATGACAGATGAACAGCAGATATATGCAATGACATCCACTAGCAATAGGAGAGAGATATTGAATGGGCCATCCTATACACAGATCACTCTCTTAGATGACGGACTAGAGCACACCTACAACTCCAGAGAGACATGAAACTACCGTGGTCAGAGCAGAAGGGCAGAGAGAGGAGAGCTGGGGCTACCTCTAGGCACATCCTCTGTAAACTGGGCGCACAGAAGAAATGCGAAAACATCTTAGCTACAAGATACACCCTGGTATGATGAGCAGGGGAAAAAATCAAGGTAAATGTGTGCAGTAGAACCTCCCCCCACCATCTCCCCGCAATATTGAGTGTTATTTTCCTCAAATTAAACATGACACAAACATACTTGATATGAAATATGCAGTATTTGATTTACATTTGCCTATAATTTATTGTACGCAGTAGCTCTTTGAAGAAGGAAAAAAATTATTAAACTAGCTTTTAAGGAGTAGGGATATGTTCTTCACAGTAGTGATAAAGTCAGCATCACAACACAAATTTTCTTTTTAAAGGAAAAAACTGTAGCTTCGCAGTTTTTATATGGGTATATCCACGCACTGTTTCACTGACTATAACTTCTATGTACAAGTGGGGGAGCTGCTGCAGCCTCTGAGGGCCTGAGCAGAATCCACGTGACAAAAACTTCACTAGGGCAGCAAAGACCACACACACCCCGAGAACTAGTTACTGCCTCCCTCTGCAAACACTAGCGCTTCATTGACAGCGGAGCTCATGAGGTTAAACATAGTGAAATAATACAAAATGTGAAGTGCATAACTGACAAGCACGTGGGAAGCATTTGGGGAAGGCGTGATTAATCATTTGAGGTAACGACAATCTTGCTTCGCGATTTGTATGTAAATAATACAATATGAAGCTTTAACCCTACATGGCACTTTTGTTTACTGTACAAGTTTTCAAAGAATTATTATCTGTTAGAACTTTTGTTATGATTGTTTTGTTTGGTTGGTGCTGTTTTTTTTTTTTTGCTTAAATTGTATATTACAAATATACTATAAAGTGCATACAGGGAAACTACCTGAAGACTGGTTGTTAAGTTTAATTCCTATTACTGTATGCAAATGGGAATTTAACTTAAATCTGTTTTGACTAGTAGGACTCTAGAGAAGCCAGCTGTGATCAAGCCACAGAGTACGTTTTATACTGCAGCTAAAAACATATTGGTTTTACATGGCATCTGCTGTTGGGCCATCTGAGAGCTTAATTTGGCTTGACTTTTGTAAATAACAGATTTATTATCAGATTTCCTTCATTGATTACACGGGTTTTAATCTCTAGATCCCAACAATTCTCTTTCTGAGAATAAGAGAGTATTATTTCATAAAATAATTAAAAAGCTGAAGACTTTAACTAGTAAGAATATTAACTGAGCTCACAACCAAAATGTGATAACATGTGCAATATCTTGTTTTGCATGCTAATGCTTCGTAATTGCACAGAGCTTTTCAACTTCAAAGCTCTTTACATGAATTAAGTAGATACCCCTGAAGGCCTTAGGCAAAATTTTATTTGCCTTCCAAAAGAGATTTGCACCAGACAAAAGCCTTGTGAAAATTTCAGGACTGTGTTTTGTTGCTTTAATCTCCATTTGACTCACGTGAGATAAAATACTACCACCACTTTGCAGATGGAGCAGTGGAAACAGAGAGCAACTGAATGGAGCTAAGCCTGTTTCCCTGAAAAGTCTGCACTTCACCCTGGCTGTGGCAAGTTGAGCTTTTGAGAAACAAAACATGAGGTAATTTAGTTTTCCAAAGTCATGTCAATATTACCTTCCAATTATTTTTTTTACTTCCACACCAAAGTTCAAGCTGCCTGAAAGGCTGATAATTACCTCCTCTTGCACAGCTCCACCACAATGCCTTCGCTCAAACAGTCAGGCAGAGCAAAATGCGTTTGCTAAGATTCAATCAAAAGTCATTATCGGGTACTCCACTCTGCTTAGTCAAATGACATTTTAAAACGCATTTGCTAGAAACAGTTGTTTCCCAAAACCCAACAGCACAAGTCTGCACTAGTTCCATTATGTCAGGCAGACTGAAAACCACCGTGAATCGCCACACAGTATTTTCAAGCTGAACCTTTTTCCCACTGTTTTTTGAACCCCAGTACAGATATGAAACTGCAACAGAAGTTTACCACCTATGAGCATGAACATTTCTCAGCATCATTTTTAAAAATGATGTTTTTTGCTGAGTACTTGTAGCATCAACAAGCATTTTTCTTTGTACTTACCATGTGATTTTTATGCCACTTCACTGGACGCAGGGAGTAATATTTTGGGACTTTTTATTGCTTGAGTAGAAAGTGCTCATTACCTATTTATGTTTATATATAGGAAAAAACAAAGAGTTTCTTCAAGTGGCATACATCACACTGTTGTAGTGGTTGATTTCCTCAAGATGGTCTTCTGGGGTTTTGGTGCAGTTTGTGGAGGCACAGTCGCAGGTCTCGGAGGAGGAAAGCTATTACTGGGGCTTATCCCCAACCCTCCATTTTCGAGGGGGAATGGAGGCAGGGGAGGCGGAGGAAGCGACAGAGGAGGGCACTGGTGCGGAGGCTTCCCCGCAAGGCGGGCAGGCTCGCTGTGCAAGTGCACCTCCCTGTTTTTAATGTTATACCGAACGTCACAGTCGGGGCAATAGCCATGGTACTGCACTTTTTCACTAAATCGTACCCGTTCCCTCGTTCCTGGTGGTGGACAACGTTCTTTCTCAGGTCTATGCATCAGAGGCTGCATGGCGACTTTGTCCAAATTACTGTTGGGTATACAGCATACATCCCCATTTGGGATGCGGTTCGGCCCTCCTGGCAAGCCCCCATTTCGAAGCAGGGTCCCGTTCGTCTTCACAGGGTTGGCAGAAGGAAGTGGCCTCGGAGGCTCGTCGCACTTGACCGGTGTCAGCCGCGGCGGTGGTGGTGGCGGATTGGGTTTCCTCAGCACAGTGAGGATGGCAGAGGGGTGCGCAGGGGGCTTGATGAGCGGTGCGCTGCCCCGCACCTTGACTTTCTCCAAGCTGGAAGCTGTGGTGCTGCTGGAGCTGCTGTTGAGCGTGTCCGTCTTGGAGCTGTCCGTCATCTCATCCTCCAGCTGCAGGTCAGACGTCAGGGTGTCAATCTGGTCAACCACCTGCACAACAGCCAGAACAAGAACGGTGAGAAAAGCTTGCCACAGCGAAGGCAAGGAAAATAAAAGTGCCATCTGCAATCATTTTTTTATCCCCTGCCCAAAACTGAAGTGTTCAACTTTTTTTTTTTTGATTGTTACTCCTTTTTCCTTTCTTCCAACTTAATAATAATAATTAAAAAAAAGGGACAGCTAGGTTGCTAGTTCAACACCTGAATACAAAAGAAATGCCACCTGAAACTCTCTGGAATGAAATTCTGTTCCTTTCCCTCTAGGGTTTACTTGGCAATATCATTGTATGCTAACTGTAATCCTTCAATAATATGTTTTGCCTTCCAGTGCAGGAGGAGACTGAATTATTTAACATCGACTTATACACGACAGTTTCTGAATCCCAAGCTACTACAGGATATTTTTTAGCTTTGACCTTTTACAGAATCTAGACTTAAATATGCATCTCAGTACTGGTGATATTATACATGTAAAATCATAAGTCTGAGATACTCCTTTTTGACTATTTTCAATGTAAATAATTCAGGTATGGAGAAGCAACTACCCCGCCGTATCAGACTGCATTGTCTCCTATTATGAATATTTTCCTTTAGATTTGTGATTCTCTGAAGCAGTCCTGAAAAAGCATTCCTTGCAAGAAAAGTAGCTTCGTTTCCAAAGTTACACGTATTTATAAACTCATGCATTTTATTCCATCTCCTTCACCTCCCATATTCTTGCTTTGTTTGTTTCTACAACATTTGATCTCTTTTAGTCTCCCAGCTTCCTTTTTTTGCTCACTTCTGTGTAGGACATGCAACTGATGGTGACTTTGCTAGCTAGACAAAACCTGTAATGTACACTTTGTTTCAGTCTTTCCTTCAGCATTTTGGGTTTTTTCCCAATAAAAAACAAGGAACAAATTATACCCTTAGAAGACAGATACTTATTCCCCCAAACAATCAGGATTTATAATGTTAATTCATGAGATGGATAGGCCCAGATGAAACCTCTGGCAACAGCCGGATCCCAACCTTCTCCTCCAGGGTACAGCATATGACTTCTTTTGGAAATTCCAAAATAAAGGCAGATAAACCATGCATGCAGTAAGACAACACAAGGACCATAGCAAGAAAGATAGCTTACAAGAGAAAGAACTCACATTATCACCGTATGTTACAAAAGTAAACCAAGGCAGAGAGTCATGAAGAACTTCTCAAAACAAAATAGTCAATCTAAAGGAACAAGGAAACGACGTGTGCACAAGGAACTAGGAAATTCACGCACCCCTCCACAAGTTTAGTATGCATTTCTGTCAATATTAGGGCCTGCCTTCATATGACTGAACGTATCAATGAATCCCCCTCCTGGCATCCAATAGCTAACATTTTTATAAACAGTCAGTAATAGCTACAAAAAGGATTGCTGCAGTACACACCAAAGAAACCACCTGGTAAATAGAGAGAGACAAAAAAAAAAAGACATTAGGCAGCTGAAAGCAAGAAAGAAAGGAAAGACATAGCTGTAAGGATGATCAGCTCTGGAGCGTTTGGTAGCTTGCAGATGTGAAAGTGGATTGGCGTATATTACAGTATCAGATAATACTATGAGTCAGGATTTGGTTGTGCCACAGTATTTCATAAGAGCTAAATTAAAATGCCAAGAGCAGAAATTGGTGAGTTTCTTTTGAGACTGGCTTATTCCAATAAGTCCTAATTTTTTTCTTTGCCTCTATTTTATACCACCCTCAAAGCGTTTCAGTAAGCATACAAGGACCATAAAAACCAATGTCGCACGTGAGGAAAGACGCAACAGAGGACTATTGATGTGGTTATGGCACAATCAGCCATGGACAGATCTCTCAGAGATTATCTGAAGAAACTACTGACTCTTCCTAGACTTAATAAAATTCATGGAGAATTTCCACTATTAAATTCCCAATAAAGAGGAAAATAAACACACGCATTAAATTCTAATTGTTTTATTTTGTTTCCTGCACAGCCAGTCACAAACGACAGCTTCTTGCTCTAGGCCTCATGTACGTGACAAAAAGATGGTCTCTGCTCCACACTGTATAAAATAAATCTACTCCATGCACTGTAATACTGCGGAAACAGAAACTGCTATTTATTAGTTTGTGACTGACACAGTAGAAGTTATATTCTATTGCTGCTATGAGGATATTGCTGTAATTATGTATCACTCCTGTGTCATAAAATGGCAGATATTGATGATGACACAGTTGGAGTCCGTTCAAACCAGCCTTTGGACAGGGCAAAAATTTTCTCTGCAATAACAGGGAAGTTGGTCCTTAAGAACGGTCCTTGAATTTGAATGACTATAGAGTTTATCTCTTGCCCTCCAGCAAGTATGTAGTACGCATTTGAAATTTTATGTCACCTACCTATTTGTAAAACAGAAAAAGAACACAAAACAGCTCTGACAGGAGAGCAGAGTTTATCTGTCCAGATTAATTCCCACAACAAGTTGTGATCCTGTCTACAGTTTTCTTTTGTTTTGTTTTGGTTTTTTTTGCCCCTAAAGGAAAAATTCAAATAGGATGAAAAAGTAACAGAGAATAGGTGACTAATACGCTAAAATTGATGCAGTAAAAAAAATGCAAATTAAAAAAAAAAGTCTCCACCCTGCGTTTCCTGTGGGACTAAGAGAGAGAATATTGAAAAACAAAAAAGCTGCTGTAGTTCTGCAACATCTCTTCGTCTGTGTTAATAAATGCACTGAACCAAAATCTTTTGACCTCACATCTAAACTCTTTAACAAGGCAAATCTTTGTTTATATCATCATTTTAATATTAAAATATCTGTGAGTTTTCCCCTTTTTTTTGGATAACAATTTAGCATCTTCACTATACAATGAGCAGAAAAATCAACTGCTTGGGTAAAGCAAATTTAAGGCAGATACTTTGTTTTTTCTTCACCTCCAGTTTATTGATTGACAATTATTTTGCTTTTGCTTGTACGTTTACATTTTTATGTAGACACGCAAGCATTTCTTTCTGGTATTCCTAAGACTAGAGGGAAGAGCAACAAAGGTAGCAGCACTGGTAAAACGGGTGCATAAGAATTATAATCATCCTTTAGAACAGGTAATCAATCATATTGAATTAAAGCTCCTCTCATCTCTAAATTCAAACAGCAAGGGTTCACTTAAAATCTAACACTAGCAAACGGCAATTGGCAAACACAGAAAATTCTAAGTGAACAAAAGTAGAATGAGATAAAAATTACATTCAATAGATCTGAGGAAAAAAGTTAACTACAAACATAACATTTAAGGAACAGTTAAGAGCCCAAATGCACCAATGCTCCAAAGTCTGTTAACTCAGGCAGGCAGGACAACTCACCTTGCAAGCCACTTCTCCTTCTTGAGTACCTGAACACAGGAAAATTTAATGTTGCGTGACCATAAGATGACAGATCTTGGCTAAAGCAAATGAAAGCCACTGCATTTGAGTTCTTGCTTGCTAATACATTAACTTTTAATAATTTTTTTTAATTTCTCTTTAAAAATCTCTACCACAAAAAGTTTCCTCAAGATATCTACAGTAATAATTTGAATATGATTGAGTGCAGAGATACAAATTTGAAAAAAAGATTATAGGAAGTAGCCTAGGGTATTTTCCCGATACCAGCAAAATCCAAATCTTTAGCGGATGCTATAAATACTTGAGAAGTTTTACAGACAAGTAAAATAAAACATTTCTCTTTGTTTCATGAGCTTTCAGGTTTGGATTAGACACACAAAATTAAAGAATGAGAACAAAACTAAACCAAAAAATAAATGATAGATCAGTGGTTATAACACTGAAATTTGTGCTTAATTTCAATATTCATCTTCTGTTAAAGAAAGGTTATGAATAGTATTTATCAATAAAATACAAATAAAAAGGATTGGTGGGAAGATGATCAGAGACGATGTGTGGCAGTGAGCTCTGTGCACTCCAGAGAGGACGTGGATGAAATAAAATACCTGTTCAGAAGCTCACAAATAGCCATTAAGAAGAGGAAAAGAAAACACTAAGTCAGCAGGGATTGCTCGGTGCTGACAACTTGCCAGGTAGCAGTTAGGAAGAGCAGGTAGTGAGGCTGGATGACTAGGTTTAAAGATAGAGGTGCAATATAAAGGAATAACTGCACTCTGGACGAAGTGAACCTGGGGATGACTGTTGCAGATACGAACCCTGAGAAAGAGACCCAACAGCATCAAGAAAGCTGGGAAAGAAAAGGCAGCTATGGACGAGCGCATCTCACAAGGGGTTAGCCATATAACATTTTTAGTTAACAGCTAAAGTCCCAGGAAGATCTGTGAGAAGCACTGCTCACAGAAAGTTTATACACATAACTTTTAAACATTTATACATACATATATACACACATATACATATGTAAGAGCTATAGTAAAGTGACATGAGTTTTATTCCCTCCACTAAAATTGAATATGAACTAAACATGATTTGTGTGACATTTATAAGATGAACCGTAAGTAAATTGGGATTAAGGCTTATTATCTGGAGACAGTGCTCCTCCCTGATGACTCCCTCCTGGAGTGCACAGCATCTTAAACTGTTACAGGAAATGAAAAGCTCCTTGCTGCTGCTGTAGATGGATATAACCTTATGATATATAATACTATTTCAGTATTTAGAAAACTTACACAAATGTGTGTTTAGAGTCAGAGAAATTCTGTGTTGAAGCCATGGTTGTATGGGAAATGAATTGATCCTAAGAAAGTAATTTAATCATGAGGGAAAAAAAGGGAAAAATATTTCCCCCAGACAAAAGATCTTGGGAGGAAAAAAAAAAAGACATTGAAATTGAATTTGCAAACAGTTTGTAATGCAAAAATATCCTATGATTAAATTCATCCCCTCAATGTTATCAAATTTTTTTAGATTAAATTGCTGAAACAATACAGACCTGGCATAAACTGTTGCTTTTCCATTAAGGTCAAACTGCAGCCCCTGCTTAAAGCATCTGAGAATAGGGTCCAA